ACTGTGTCTCTGGTGAATCTTCTCATCCCCTACACCGCTGGCCTGTACCCCAGCTCTTGTATGCATAAATAAATAAATAAATAAATAAATAAATAAATAAATCTTAAAAACAAAAAACAAAAAAAACTCCGAAGTTACCTAAGGGCTCATCATTAAATATAGTAACAGAAAAGAAAAAAATAGACATTTTAATAAAAAAATATAATGGCTCTTTCTAGGAGAAAAACTTGCTCTTCGGCCAGAGTTAGGCATAAATAAAGTCTAATCAGTAAACACAACAGAGTTCTGTTTTGTGTCACAAACCCCATTCTCTTTCTTAGTCCAAAGCAGCACATTTTATTTTTTAAAAGATTTATTTATTTTTTATACAAGCACTGGGTACAGTCAGAAGTGCGGGAGGGTGAGAGAACTCACCAGAGCCAGAGCGGGGAACAGAACAGGCAGACCGCGCCATGTGGGACCCTTGCCGGAGGCCGGGGATCGAACCTGTGCTGCAGAGGCTGCAGGCAGCTTCGCAGCCCAGCGCTCAACCACTGCGCCACCAGGAGAGGCCCCAAAGCAGCACATCTTATTACAGGACCACACTCAGGTTCTAAGCCTATGATGGAAAATATTTGTGACACCAACTTGGTACAACCCCTAAAATTAAAGCTGTTTTTCAAAACTTTGTAAAAGAGTTTCCGACATTTTCTTTTCCCTTTTTCAAGCCTTAAAAATAAATACGGCACATTTTACTGTTATTGTCATGGTGTAGGTTAGATAATTAGGTAAAAATGCCCATGTGATTTCCCCTCAATTTCAAGCTTAAACAGTTGGGTATTTTTCTTTTAATCCTTAAGCTCAAAAAATGTCAAAATATGTATGTTTGAAATGTTGAATTTCTTGATCTGAGTTATTTGTCCAATAGTAACATTGGTATAGATGGGATTTGAATAAAAATTAGTATTACTTGGGGGATACCTAAAAATAAAACATACAAGGAAACAGGAAAGAAGAGAATAAACTTGTTAACTCAAACACAGGTTGTCATAAAACAGCAGATCAGCAAAGTAAACCTAAAACTTTATGTATGAGAAAGCTGAGGATTCTAAGAATAAAAAGCAGTAGACAGAGCATGAGGAAGTACACAAGTTTATTTTTTCTTATTACTTACCTGTTCACACAAATCTCTCACTCTCCCACAATATCCATCCTTACCTGTACCCATCATTTAGCCTTGAGCTATGAACACAGTGGTAACCCCTCACTTCCAGAAGACGATGAGACCCCAGGCTACACCACTCCATCATCTGTGACCTTCCATTTCCTGTCCACTCCTGCTGAAGTCTGTCCCATACCACTGAAGTCCTCACCAACAACCTGACACCAAATCTACTCCATTGCCAGGAGGGGGTTGGGAGTATGTTCCCAGTTATACCAGAAGTGGGGATACACTTCTGAAATGTCACACTGAAATTCTAAATATATTTAGAAGGTATAGTGATATACACAATCAGTAGTTGAACTCATTACTTTCTCATTTACTTTATGGAGTGAAGGGGGAGACTTTTTTTGGTATGCCTTGGAAACTTACCCACCTTTTATAAAATTTAGTAGAAAAACTATATGTGTATCTAAAACTATCTTTTCCTGAGTTTGCTAATCAAGAATCCTTAGGAAATAGTATAGAGCTATAAAAACCTTAAAAAAAGTAAGCTTCTTAAGCTTCATCAATTGAGAATCTTACTTGGTTTAACCTTGCTGTTTTTTCAATAGAGTGGAGTGCTATTCAAGATGTGAAAAAATGAAATGCTGAAATTATAGCAGAAAATTTCTTTGCACCTATCTTAAGTTTAAAATGTACAATTATCGGGCCTCCCTGGTGGCACAGCGGTTGAGCTGCGCAGTGCCGGTTTGACTCTGCAGTGCCGGTTCGATCCCCGACTGCTCCCCCGCCACCGGAGGAGGGTCCCACATGGCGCGCAGACCTCTCCTGCAGCCCGCTGCTCCCCTCAGCAGTGTACTTCGGTCCTTCTGCCTGCTCTGCTCCCCACTCTGGCTCTGGTGAATTCTCTCACCTTCCCGTGCTTCTGACAGTACCCAGTGCTTGTATAAATAAATAAATAAATAAATAAATCTTAAAAAAATTAAAAAATAAAATAAATAAAATGTACAATTATCAAATAGTGATTTGTGAGCACTCTAAAACATTTTTAAAGGAGTGGCTATGACAAAAACTAGAATGAAAACCATCTTGCATAACTATCGTTCCACATATACAAATTAATAATAAAAATTAAAATTTTCTAGTCAAACCTAAATCAGTAAATTATATATAAAAACAAAAATTTGAGTTTCTAAATAACTTTCTATAAATTTGAGATTTTGTTTTAAGACCCAGACAAACACGTCATACGGATTTTTCCTAACTTCAAATAGCCACTTATTGCTGATCACAAATATCTTTAAGAGGATATGGTTTAGGGCCTCCCCGGTGGCGCAGCGGTTGAGCGCTGGGTTGCGAAGCTGCCCGCGGCCTCTGCGGCGCCGGTTCGATCCCCGGCTGCTCCCTGGCCACCAGAGGAGGGTCCCACATGGCGCGCAGACCTCTCCTGCCGCCCGCTGCTCCCCTCAGCAGTGTACTTCGGTCCTTCTGCCTGCTCTGCTCCCTGCTCTGGCTCTGGTGAATTCTCTCACCCTCCTGCGCTTCTGACTGTACCCAGTGCATGTATAAACAAAACAAACAAACAAATAAATAAATAAATAAAACATGCCTCTATTTAAAAAAAAAAAAAAAAAAAAAAAAAAGAGGATATGGTTTACATCATGGAGGAAGAGGGCATAAAAGGGTTTCTTTCCTTTCACTTTAAATATTTTTACATTGTATGAATTATTTTTGTAAGAAGCATGTATGTTTAGCAGTTAAAGAAAAACTTATTTGGAGTTGTAGGGGTTAAGAAGACTCAATAACAAAAAAAATTATTATAAAAAATGTCTTTCAATGTGAAACAAATATCACAAACTCTTTCATAATGAACCAATTTATGCAAGACCAGTTTTATTTAAAATATATTCATGTTTTCTACTGAACTCAACCTAGGACAAAGCTTTAAACTAGGCAAGGAAAAGCTCTTGGGGTGGGAGGACTTTAATTTTTCCTTGCAATTTCCAGTATATCACAAAACCACTCCTCCACTCCTTTCTGCTTTTCTCACAGATATCTTAGGGCAGTGGTTCTCAAAGTGTGGTCTGCAGACCAGCAGCATGAACAGAGTCACAGGTCTCACTCCAGACTTTTCAGTCAGGAGCTTGGGAAGGACAGGGACAGAAGTCTGTAGTTTCAGCTTCCAGCTGATTCTGAGTCTGAGAACGTCTGTCTTAAGGTATATTGGACAATATAACACCTTCTTATAATTACTTTAATCTCACAATACAAAGTTGATAATTATCACTTGCTTTAAACACTCCCAGATTGTTTCAGGCTAATTTTATATTGATAGTATTAACTTTGAATAATAAAAAACAGAAATTTGGAAGAAGACAGTATAATGCTTAAGAAAATTTTAATATATATTGGTTCAGTCACTACTTACAGAATGAGAATGGACACTTACCATATGCCTAATATTCTACAGATGGTAAACATAAGCAGAAATTTATGCTGACAGAGAAAAACATTATATCACTTCCATAACTTCCATTCTTATCAATCTATACTAAAGATTCTCAACTGAGGCTACTCCATCTCCTGGGGCTCTTTCATCTTATTCTGCCTCATATACATCCGTCTTCCAAAATCATGAGCAAAGCAGTAGCTGTTATTGTTAAGAGTTTATTATATATTTTCACTTAACAGGACTAATAAAAGGTTAAAAAGTATTGACCTTTACCAGACAGATCCTCTCTCCTGATTTTCTGCTTGCTGGATAGTTCCACTCAGAGATCCAAAATGAACCTCAAATTCAATGTTTAAAATTGAACTCATTATTTTGTCCCCACCCACATCCCATATTCTCTCACTTTCTTTGTAAAGGCAGCACAAAAAACTAACACCTTTGACTTGATACTTGCCTGCCAACAGTCTGCCAATCACCAAGGCAGTTCCTCTTACTTCCAAAGTAGCTCTGGCCCCATCCTTCTACTACCACTATCCTGGCGTAGGAATTGAGCATTTCCCCACTGATTAGTGATTCAGATTCATACTCAATTCATCCTGTCTCCAGACTCACTGCTCCTTCTGGAAGGTGTACTTTCTAAAGAGTAAATTTGATCATGTCAGTCAACTGTTTAAAATCCTTGCATGGCTCCTTAAGGGAAAAAAAAAAAAAAAAAACATGAAATTACTGTATCTTTCATAATCTGATCTCTATTCACCTGCAATTATCATACCACCACCAATAGCTTCAGTAGTACTGAATTTTATTTCTTGCAAATCAGTATTTCTTTTTCTTCTGTCTTTCTTATATAACTTTATTCCTACCTACTATTCAGCTCTCTTCATTGGGCTAAATTAAATTCTATTTTCCTTCAAGATCTAGTTTCATTACTTTTTCTCATAAAAGTATTCTTCACCTCCACAAGCTATATACCAAACAGCACCTCCAAGTACAGTCCTTATTATACTATTCAACAACCATGTGCCTTCTCTACATGTCCAGGTCTACATGAACAGGAACCATATGCATGTTGCAAAAAATTAATACTTTAGCACCTAGGAACCAGCATAGCATGAAACTAAAAGTCTGGGTTCTAGAGTCAGAAAAACCTAAAAAGCATCACAAGCTGTGAGAATTTGAGAACATTTCTTATACTCACTCTGCCTAGCTTTCCTTACTGGTAAAATGTAGAATAGTACTGTCTTAGAAAGCATATGAAGGATTAAATGTGGTATGTGAAACATTTTGCATAGTGCTTGGTACATAGAAATATTGACTATTATTATTACTTAATACAGTGCCTATTGAAGAAAAAATATTTGTTGAATGAACACACTATTCACAAATTATTAAAAACATACACTTTATTAATGCTAAACTCATATAATTCATTATATTTCCAAATGAAGTTTATAATTCTATAAGGAGGCTTCAGTTCTATTTATATCCATCACACTGAAGTTTTCTTATAGCCAATATTTAGATGAATTATAAAGCAGAATGTTCAAAAAGAATAACCTGTGCCTCACTTTCAGGGTCAATTTGTTTATGAAGTCGAATCTGCTCTAGACCAGGGCTTTCTAGAGAATTTGGGGAAGTATTACAAATTGAGGCAGTTACATTATACCTTGCTGACTGGTAAAAACTGTAGTATTCAAGTCTATTTTCTCCTGAGTTTTCTGGTGCCTTTAGTTTTTGTTTAAATTGAACAACTTTGTATATCAAAAAAATGATCAAAACACAAGCTAAAATGAAAAAAGCCAGCAAAATGTCAAAAGCCACATTCAACTTTTCAACTTCTTGTGTACAAATCAGAGCTGTTTTCCCTGACTCTGAAGTAGCATCAATTGGGATAGCACTGTTTTTTTCCAAGTTCAAGTTAACAGAAGAAGTAATCTGTATTTGCACAGGTAACACTGCAGTAGTCTCTAATGGATTACCCAAAGTATTCTCTTGAAAAAATCTACTGGCAGGTGAAGTACGAATTTGTTCCCAAAAAGTTACGCTCTCAATATTTTCCAAATGTTTCCCATTTGTGGTTACTTTATGCCAGGCCATCATTAACGCAGTGGTCTTGCGATGAATGTGAAGAGATTTTACAGCCCAAGCTCTGGATACATTTGTTGAAGATGTATCACAATTTGGAAAGACAGTCCACTTAATATAATGCAACGTTCTGCCACGCATGGATGGGGGATTCTGACAAGAGATGTTTAAGTAATGGTTGAAGATGCTAGTCAGTTGCGAAGGCCCAATAGTTTGTAGTTACATTTCCAAGGATTAGAATTTGCCTGAAGATGAGTCAATGAAGACAATGGCTTAAGGACCCTTGGATGTAAGTCTGTAAGATTATTAAATGACAGATTAAGGATCTTCAAAGATGCTCTTGTTTTCAAATGTGTCATGATCAATGCTGACTATTCTGTTTCTACAAAATTGCAGTAAATTAAATTATTTAACAAGCTACTGTCAATTTTCTAAATCATTATAACTTAAAATCAAATGTTTGATCATTAGTTCCACTAAATCCAGTCCTAGTAACATATTCAATTTTTTTAATTTTTCATGAAATACTGTAGTTGATAAGTCCTTTAAATGCAAAGGGCTTGTGATTTACAAGACAAAGAAGTTTTTTAAGATTCTTAAGCAGTTCAAAAGCATATGGTGGTTCCTTTGTTAAATTAGTACCTTCTAGATACAAATAATTCAGGTTTCCAAGATGCTGAAAGCCTGAATCTGATATTTAGAATTTTATTGATTGATAAATCAAGTATCTGAAAAGCAATCATACCAACAAAGGTACCACTCCCAAGGAAAGCAAGGGAATTCCGCAGTAGATTTAAGTACTGAACTGAAACTAGATCATTAAATACTTCCTTTAAAACAAAAGGTATGTGATTAGACTGCAAATATATATTAGGAAGATTGGAAAGTTCCTCAAAAATTCCAGGATCCAAGCATTTTATATAAAATTATTATTTAGACATAGAAAGTATAATATCTCAACTGAACAAAGGTTTTTGGATAGGTACACACAATGCTAGAATTATCCAAATATAATACTACCAAAGCTTGATAAAAACAAAAAAATTCACTTAATTCACTTTCATTTATGAGATATATTCAGTTCAACTAGATACAAAGAAACTGTACTTTCAGGAAAATTCTTGGGAATACTTGAATGACCTAAGTTACAGCAGTTAATTTGTCTCCAGTGCTGAACTGGCAAATAGACAAAAATCCAAACATCTGTTTATGAAATAATAATAAAAGATAATAGGTAACAAGTAGAAACAATCGTAGACAAGGCAGAGAAAAGTATAAGCCATGCATAGCCTTGTTCTTAATTTTTCTATCAGAATTGGCCATAAAAAGGAAAAATTTTAAATTATTAAAAATTTCTTAAAATGAAAGTTTAGTAATACTAGATTTCTGTATTTTGTATTACTTATATTAGGATCAGCTAATAATGTTAAGTATCATAATTCACACCATGTGATAGCATAAAAAATAGAATGTGTTCTAGAATTATTAACATTTTCAGGTCATTAACCCACAGCTTGATAAAAATGACAATTCAAATTTAATGAGCTAAAAAAAATAAAATGTTTGCTAACTCAATTTAAAATATTACAAATGACAATGACAAAAAGGACAAATGATGATGTAAGGATAACATTCTATGAATGTTCCTTTATTAACTATATTAATTAAATAACATGAAAATACAAATTCATTACAGAATAATTAAACTCTCTAAACTACAATTTTTTATACAATCAAATTATTTTTCACTTCAGCTAAAAGTTCGTATTTTAAATAAATAATCTTACCAAGATCAGGAAATTCATATTATTAACACTCGGCTGATTCAAGTAAAGGTTTTCTTTTTAAATCTGAAGAGCGACATTTCTAAACTCCATTTCTGTCAATGGCACTGCTGACCTCCACCCAGTCACCTCTTTTTTTTAAAAAAAAAAGTCACAGTTTGCTCAGGAAACACCACTCTTCACACAGGTTCCTCTAAAGTCAGTTTGTAAAACAGAGGTTGCCATGGATACAGGAAATTGAGAGACAGGAAGCAATTTTATCTGTGTTTTAAACGTATTGTTGAAAGGAAATCTCAGGAACTTGTTTTTTCACAATGCAGTTAATTTGAGTTTTCCTTATGCCCACACCAAAATATCTCATAATTTAAAAATAAGTTTTTTTTAAAAAGGAAACCTGAAAATTTCTATATGCAGAATGAAAGAACTATCAAAAACAGACTATTGAGTGGAAAAAGCTGAATTAAGATGTAATTAAGTAACATAATCTCTGTGAAAGTTTTTTTTTTATTTTACATATAGTTGACATCACTCCTCTTTGTACAATGTCTGCTTTCTCCTCTCAGGTCAACGAAAGTTTTAAATGCAAAAAATATTCATATTGTTATGTATATACCTTAGGGAAACTTCAGCTTTGTTTTACTTCTTAAAGAAAAGGTAGCAAAACAAGCAATCTAGAATGGTACATAAGTTATTACATTATCTTCTGTGTTCTCCTTTAATTTTTCAAATAAAAAAATAAATTACTATCAATTAGTATTTTAATATATATACCTTAAATAAAATGATATGAAGTAGCATACCAACAAAAATACCATGTAAAGGTCTTTGCATACCAACAAAACTTGGGGAGAGCTAAAGAGGCCTCTGAATGACTTTCACCCTACAGACTCTAAATTAGCTTGACTCTTTCAGGAATATCTCTATGTGTAATGTAACATTTTAGGTAAGGATTTAAAGAAATTCCATATAAGAGAATAACTGTTCTCATAAAAGTTACTTATGGATCCTAAGATTAAGAGAATCAAAATTTGAAATAGGGCATATAACAATGTAGCAACAGTTAAAATATTGGCATTTTTCCTTAATGTAGGGGGAAATTTTCATGAGGAACAGTATTTCAATACAGATTTACTTTTAAGTTGCAAGGGAAGAAAAATAAACGACATAGTGGACAAATCAGACAACATCTTGACTAGAATTAACATTGATGATGAGAAGCAAGTGGACATCACGTGCTGCTGGATGTGATTTCAAGGTCACAATATCACTTATGTGACATTCCAATCAGGGAAATAACCTGAATCTAACTGTGAAGGAAGAAAGGAGAGAAGGAGTGATGGAGAGACAAAGTGAGAAAAGGAGAGAAAGAACTGTACTATTCAAAAACATTGGTCTAATCGCTTCTCAGTCTTTTGGCTAAGATCAAGTACAAAAATGGTAGTCTTAAAAGACCCAGGAAATGATATTACAGAGTAAAACAGACTACAAAGACATGACAAATGCAAATAATACCTCATCCCAGACTGAAGAATTTAGGGATAAAAGGTTATGATCTATGCAACTTACACTAAATGAAATATCATGTGAATGTGTGTATGTGTATGAGAAAGAAAGGGAGAAATACTCTAATCACATTTTATACCCGCGGAATTTACATTCCAGTGGGGAAGATGGTCATTAAAAAAGTACTAGAAATCCAAATATCCTTCAGTAGCTGAATGTAATATATTCATATAATGGAATTCTACTCCGAAAATAAAAGAACATTCTAAGGACACACACAACAGCTCGGATGAATTTAATTACAGTTGCGGAATGAGAAAACCACTTATATGACATTCTCCAAAGATAACATTATAGTTAAAAAGAAACTATGAGTGGTTGCCAGGGGTTAGCGATCATGGGAGGATGTAATTCCCAGGATGTATACAGCACAAGGGAATTTCCTGAAGTGATGAGACTTTCTGTATTCTGATGGTAGTGATGTTTCTACAAATCTACAAGTTATTTAGATTTTCAGTAATGTATACTTGCTGCAAAAAGTTTACTTTTACTCTATGTAAATTTAATAAATAAAAATACAAAAAAATTCCCTGTATTTTAGAATACAAATAAATATTATGAACAAAAACTACTCAAAACTTCTTTGATCTATAATCATGATCTGTCTAATAAAGAGTGCTTTTGAAGGTACTGGAAAGCAGGACAATTTACAGAATTTATTAAGTATCTAAGTCACAAAGAAGCTTAGCATATTTCAAAGACACAGAAATAGCCAGCATGGTTAGTTAGAAATGACTCGAGAGTGTATATGAAAAGTCTCAAGAGGTATGTGAAAAAGCAGATCCTGCAGGATGAGTTACCCCATTGAAACTACTGAAGGGTTTGAACTAAGAGGGTTTGAATTTGCTTTTAAAAAATGGTTCTCTCTTCTCTGGGGAATATGCCTTGGAGGAGATTAAATATATGAGAGGAGGGACTACTACGTGTCAGGCATTATGCTACACAGCAAGGATACTAAAGATAAACAAAATCCTGGTCACTGGTTACAAGGAGCTCAAGGTATCCTGGGGAAAAATAAATGTTCAGTTGAAATACTCATTATAACAACATCTTGAGTGTGCAGGTACTTATATATGGAAGTGCCATATTTTGGGTGGAAAAAATGCATATGAATTCATCATCAGCACAGCTAAAATTTAGTATAAACTAAGCATAAACCACTTCCCAGGCATTGCTCTAAATATTTTACATGTATTGGTTTACTTAACACACAACAGTGTAACAGTTTAGCACTACTTTATAGGTGAAGCAAAACAGAGACAGGTCAAGTGCCTTGCCCAAGGTCACACACTGAATTGAAGAGCCAGGATCAAATCTACCCAACATGACTCCAGAGCCTGAACTTTTTGGAATGTTACTATAAGACCTTAACCTCCAAAACACTTGGAAGGTTAAGATATATAAAAGAAGTATAGAAATAATAGAGCAAGCAATTCATAATATGATTCAGTCAAAAAACTTCAAGGAGGCAGAAATCACTTTTAAGCAAAGAAGTTAGAGACTGACTCTACCACCCATACCCACCCCCCCCCCCGCAAAAAAGAAACACCACACACACTAAGAGATAAAGAAATGTCAAAGTATGGCAAAGATTTCCCGTGAGGCAATAAAAAATTGTGGCACTTACAACACCACAACTCTACCTTCTTTCTCCAGTTTTCCTTCAGCCTCTACTCCAAACACGTTTCCCTGATCTACAATGACATGGGGATGTAAGGGCTCCATCACTGCTGAAGAGAAACAAGAACAGCATATGCTATTCTATTCCATTGGCGAATATAAACTGAGCTCTAACTCTTACCACTTTGTAAAGAGCAGTCAATGAAATATCCTGAGCTGTAATATCTGCCTCCTGAGCTGAAATATCTGACAATCTCTAAAAGGTGGAATGCAAGCAACAGCAGCAGCAAGAATAATGAACACTGAGTCAGTGCTTACATTTCACTGTGATGAAAAAGCTGCAGGGACACAGTATCTTTTCTCAAATGTTGGCACTGGTCACATTTGAACAGACAGAATGGGGGAAAGTCTCAGAGTAAAGGAGGAAAAGTCTCAGGAAAGCCTAAGTTAGCACCTTCACATATTTGGTCAAAATGATTAAGAGTAGTAACACCAATAGTAGTAATAATAGTGACTGATTTAATAGTAATGGTTAATTAATATGCATTAGTCCATACTTTACTATGCATAATAAATATATTCTCCAATTTACCCTCAAACAACCCACAGATGGTAGTATTCATGTTTTGCATTTGAAACATGAGAAAACCAAGGCCATGAAAGAGATAACTGGTCCAATGTTACATAAATAGTAGGTAAAGCATGCATCTGAGGCCAAAAAGTAACCTTCCTCTCTATCTCACTGTCTTTTTCTAAGACCTCTGGATAGAGTGAAGCACAAGCTCACGCTAAAGAATTCCCCAAAGTAGGATGTTCCTCAAGCTATGAAGATACATTATGTATGTATGCAAAATCAGGAAGTACACAGTATTCATGTTTGTACTCCCCCATGTACTTCTGCTCTATTCTTATGCTTTTATCCCCATATTGGAGCAAGAACAATTACTTTAACAATGGGTTTTGCAATTTTGAGAGCCTAGAACTCACACTCATTCAAAAATATAGTTTCATGGTCCAACCACTATGGAGAGCTGTGTGGAGATTTCTGGACCTACTAAACATAGAGCTTCCATATGATCCAGCAATTCCACTCCTAGGTATTTACCCAAAGGACACAGAAACATCAATTCCAAAGAACACCTGCACCCCTATGTTTATAGCAGCTCTATTTACAACAGCTAAGCTTTGGAAACAACCCAAATGCCCAAAAATAGATGACTGGATCAAGAAGATGTGGTACATATACACCATGGAATATTACTCAGCATTCAAAAAAGATAAACACATGCAATTTGCAGCAACATGGATGGCGCTGGAAGGGATCATGCTCAGCGAAATAAGCCAGAAAGAAAAAGAAAAATACCGGATGGTCTCACTCATAGCAGGAATCTAGAAA